TCTTATTTGCTATTACGATGACAGCGTCATTTAAATGGTTTGTGAATGTGACTTCACAGCTGCACGCGGCTGTGATGCTGCAGGGATGAGATGTGGATGTTTAGTCTGCTGGGCTCGGATGACCAGGATTCTGAATGTCTCGTCCACATTGGCTCTTCTTACAGTCTTGCTGTTGCTGATTAAGACAAAATGAAAGAGAGAGTAATTGTATCAACAAAATGAATCGAAAGTTAAGAAATTGATCGTTTAAAAGAAGAAAGTTGGCCATATTGCTATTGATGCACAGTATAGATGAAGGTATGGGATCATTCGTCTATCGACCAGTTGGATAAGGAATGACCTCTTGGTAATCCATCATGTTTCAAAATATTCTATTAAAGAAGCGACGGTTTGGAGATATAAGTCTGTAACTCACCGTAATACAGTTGCACACTCAATTTACAGCAAAGATTTTAGCACTCAGTTACCAAAAGAGGTGAGCTGCAAACTATAAAGGCTGATGAACCCAACAGATTTTTACTTTTTGCATATTTCATCGTAGGATGGAGTTAGGGTTACTCGGTCTGCCGTTCATTTATAAAAGACGTTCAATAAATTTGATAGATTGCTGTTACAGCTGGAGTATCAGATTTAACCTCCCATTTGGCTGTACCTGTGGGGTCAAGGCGGTACTCGCGTGATATTCTGCAGAGCGTCTGGCTGGACTTGTTTTTCAGGCAGACCGAACAACAGCTCCTCTCATTCCTCCGCTGTGGGCGTTTGGCCTGCCCTGCTAAAAGGCACTAGCAGCAGCTGGACAGGACGTACTCTGTCCTCCACCGATGGCCGAGTGAGACAGGAGCGTGGGGAGAGACGGGCCGACAAAGTGACCGAAGATACAAAGCTGTGGCCAACGGTTCTCCTGTTCTCCTTCCTTTTCTGTCCTTTGAGGCTGATGATGATAGCATGTGTGAATTGAATAGGAGATAAAGGACCCGTCATCTAATAAAGGAAACATGCATGGTTCAGTTAAACGCATCACAGGAAGTGAAATGATAAACAATGCAACACAAATATGCGTATGTAAAATAGGATCACTTTTGGTTGCTCTGTATCTTCTGGATGTAAACGGCCGTGTGCTAAAACAGTAACATTATTTGAAGATGGCTTTAAAGTCAGTGTTGAGGTTCAGCTCGTCGCAGCTTTAGGCTAACAAATGTTGTAAGAGTGGCACTACAGTATTACTAACCACAGACTTAAAAAAATGTCTTGTGGTAGCAACAAAATAAGGGTGTTTTGGGGCTGAATGCTGGAATCAACTTGAGTCAATATGGATCAGCGATCTTTTGATCGCTGTCAACCGTTGAATTCAAAATCCATCTATATCCATATTAGAAATAGCCTTGTGTCACAGATGTTTGTGACTTAAATGTAATTCAATTCAAGTCATTTTATTTTGTATAGCCCAAAATCGCAAATTCCAAATTTGCCTCAGAGGGCTTTACAGTCTGTACACATACGACATCCTCTGTCCCGAAACCCCCCATCGGCACAGGAACAACTTCCCAAAAACTGAAAAAACCCTTCCAAGAGGGAAAAAAGGGAAGAAACCTTAGGGAGAACGTCAGAGGAGGATCCGTCTCCTGATGGACAGACTACAATGGATGCCATGTGTACAGAATGAACAATGTCTAATACATGCAACTATATGACAGAAATGATTCAAGTAACTGTGAGTAGTAAGACAGGCGCACAGCAGGACCACTGCAGGGACAACACCATCACATAGAACCACCATCACATAGAACCACCATCACATAGAACCACCATCACATAGAACCCCCATCACATAGAACCACCATCACATAGAACCACCATCAGATAGAACCACCATCAGATAGAACCACCATCACATAGAACCACCATCACATAGAACCACCATCAGATAGAACCGCCATCAGATAGAACCACCATCACATAGAACCCCCATCAGATAGAACCACCATCAGATAGAACCACCATCAGACAGAACCACCATCACATAGAACCCGCCATCAGGCAGACCCCCCATCAGACAGACCCACCATCACATAGAGCCACCATCACATGGAACCGCCATCAGATAGAACCACCATCACATAGAACCACCATCACATAGAACACCATCACATAGAACCGCCATCAGATAGAACCACCATCACATAGAACCACCATCACATAGAACCACCATCAGATAGAACCACCATCAGATAGAACCACCATCAGATAGAACCACCATCACATAGAACCACCATCAGATAGAACCACCATCCACAGAAGCCTGTGGGGAGGAAGAGCACAGAGACTTTAGGAGAGGGTAATGTTGGTTTATGAGTACAGTAATATGATTAATATCTAAAATAATAATGATGATGATGATGATGATGGCAGCAGCAGGCGTCAACATGGCCACGGTCGGTGTCATGACCAGGGTCCCGAAGGAACTACGATCTACAGAGACCTGATAGGGGAGAAAGCACAAAAAAACTCCCTGAAAGAAGCTGAATTAGTGATGTGCATTAATTAAACGTGGATTATTGTAGAACGAGAGCGTGAGAGAGGAGCTCGGTGTGTCCTAAGAAGTCCCCCAGTATTCTAAGCCTATAGCAGCTTAATTAAGGGCTGGTCCGGGCAAACCTGAGCCAGCCCTAACTATAGGCAGAATCAAAGAGGAACGTTTTAAGTTTTACTTTAAAAGAGCTGACCGAATCTGCCCCCCCGGACTGAAAGTGGAAGCTGGTTCCACAAAAGAGGAGCTTGATGACTGAAGGCTCTGGCCCCCAGCCTACTTTTTAAAACCATAGGAACAACAAGTAACCCAGCATCTATGGAGCGCAGCTGCCTTGTAGGGCAATAAGGTGTTACAAGCTCTTTAAGATACAACGGTGCCTCACCAGCAAGTGCCTTGTAGCTGAGGAGAAGTACCTTAAAATCTATTCTTGATTTAACAGGGAGCCAGTGCAGAGCAGTTAATACAGGAGTGATATGATCCCTTTTCTTAGTAATCTGTGAATACCGATTAAAGAAAAGTCATAAAAGGCACTATCATGACTTACTTTTCTATATCCACGGGGCCCATTCTGTTTCCTCCCACGCGCCACCCATTCCTGTTGTATTTTTAAGCATGAAAAAAACGTACGTGCTCATCGTGTGTATTGTAATGTTTTGGCAGTCTCCCAGAAAGAGCTACAATTTCTTTGTTTTTCCTGCAGTTGTTTGTTATTCTCCGAGTGTGAGGGGAAAAAGTGAGCTGGAGAGCCCTCTGACTTGTTTGTGGGAGCGAGGCTTGATGTCATAGTTAGGCTTTCGTCCTTTGGGAGGAAAAGGGAGGGGGGGTTAAAGCGGGAGTTGAAATATTGATGCACCACGGGTTTTTGCCATTAAAAGACCCTGGGCGTGCTTTATTATGTACGTATGCTCCCAGTAAGAGTTTATCTATCGGGAGAGATTCACGTGAGGCAGCACAAAGATCAGGTCTCGAGAGACAAATATGGTAACAATAAGGCCTCTGTTTTTTTGGTTCTCACAAGGAGGAGAGGGGAGCTATGCCATACATGATCTCTGGCTTCATGCCGATGTACCATGGGCTCATTGGAAAGCAAGGAAAGAGAAAACAATAGCTATGTGTTCTGAGCAACAACACAGAAAAGGTTCCCCCCTTAGCTGCACCCCGCTGTTGAGGCACCGTGTTTTTGGAGTGAGTCGGGGGAGAATTCAACATTGTTATCTAACTGTCTCTCACTCAGACTTTAATGATTTCCAAATGTTCCATCTGATTGCTATCGGCAACATTTTGCAGGTGAAGCGTGGTGTGTTTGAAATGTGAGCGGGGCCTCGGCTGGCACAAGGTTGTTTGGGTAAAACGCAAGGTCTCGCCCCATGAGGGGCAAGAAAAGAAAACGTGGCCGCAAACGTCCTTACGGTACACACGACCCTCTAATGGAAACGGCCTGTTCGCTCCCACACTCCAACCTCGCCCTGTGTTTTTTTTTTGTGCGAGACGTGTGCATGTTACATCCTGAATGTGTAGGGCACGAAAAAGCTCTCTGCAGAAAGATGTCAAGCTGTGGCGAAAATGCAGATGTGTAGTTCCATCTTGCACACATCAGTGAATTACTTGTTTTTAGGCCACGTAGCCCCGGCGTTCACAGGTCACTTACTCATTGCGACTCACTGTGCAGTAGACAAAGCCCTGCTGGAGACCCGACGCGCTGAGGCTCGGCGCCGGTGCGTCCTGCTTGGTTGAACGAGCTCCGTTACTGTTCTGTGCCGCTGGGATGCCCGCGTCCATCCCGCACCAAATAATGGGAGCAAATCATATTTGATACCTAATAACGTTTGTTATAGTTATGAGAAATGACTTCTGAGGTGATCAGAATAAAGACTGAAATCGGTCAGAAAACCTATTTTCAAAGGGTAAAACCTCTGACATGTGACCTTTTGAGAAACGTTATACAAATCTGTTCCCTGAAATTCCCTGTACAGCATTACTGCTGTAGTGTAGACCACACCTTCATCCAGGATCCTCTCGCATCTCCAGGGCAACGAGTGAAGGCCGATGGTTACTTACAGGCGGAGTGCACCAAAGTCTGCTTCTCCTCCAAAGAGATTAAATGTCAAATTGGACCATTCTGGGAAAATAAAACTGGTTGAAATTGGCCGAAGAGAATTAAAATTGGAATGTTGATTATATGTCTCACATGTTACTTAGCTTACAGGTCAGACTGAGGGGAAAAAACTACTTTTTAAGGACTGAGACTGAGAATTACTTGCTGTTAGTTGGTTTTTACAATGAGGATATTCTTGTAAAAACCCAAGCAGATGGCATTACAAGTTGTCACCTTGTCACTTTTTCTTTTTTAAGTTCCAGTTGTTGAAAAGATTTTTTAATGTTGAGGAGATTATTACAACAGTGGGAAATGACCGCAGCTCATAAACTATTAACCCGAATGAATAACAAACTGTTCTTCTCTTCACCTCAGGGCCGGTGTTTCGCAGCCCGTGTGAGCTGCTGCCCGTGGGGACCGGACACCCGGTGCAGGCCACGTCCAGGAGCTTCACAGTCTTGTCGGGCTGCGCCAGCCGGGGAACCGCCGGCCTCCCTCAGGAGGTGCACATCATCAACCTGAGAGGACGTCTTCCAGAGGGACCAGGCAACGCCCCGCCTGAAGTGAGTTGTTCTTCCTTAAAGATCTAAACCTCCCACCATAATTAACCCCTCCTTAAAAAATGTGAAACATGGGCAATTTTAGTTGAGAGAAGAAGAAGAAAAACAAAAAGTCGTGAACAATTCCTCTCCATTTCTGTGAGACTTCGATTCCGGGTCGCAACCTCTACTTCTTTTGGTCTGTTTACTTGTGCCACACTTTGCAGACTGTTTATAACCCCCGAACCAGGTGGTGAAAATGCACCAAATTCTTAGTTCTTTGCGGGAAACTTCAAACATGTATCTATTCACAATTCGCATTGAAAGGAAGCATGGCGACTGGAAGCGCCACCATGCCCAGTACACCTGGTGACCAGATGAGCTTACCTTACCTAACAGACACCTAGACAGCGATTAGTCAGTCATTTAGATGTCTGCACGGAGGTATTTTCCAACCACTTATTTGTTTGGAGCAGAGCTCTTCAGTGCGCTCAATCAAACTGTCAGCACATCTCCTGATGCTGTTCCAGGGGTGGATGGCGGTTTCTAAAGCCACTCCCTGCCCTCAGGTGATGGACGTCACCTCTCATGGTAGGAGAAGTTATAGCCATAGTTGTGGGATGAATCATGGGCCCACGGCCGCCGATTTGCCCCCCTCGGTCCCAGCGGTGTGAAAAGCAGCATGCACACACTTGTCGCTGCAGTTTCGCTGCTGATGCGTCCTTAAACATCACCAAGGCTGAATACACAAAAACACAGTTTGCGTTTGCTGCATCGGCAGGTACATAGAGAGAGGACTTTTGAACTTAAATGAGTTCTGTGATCAGAACAACTTTTTTGTTGTAATTTAACAGGTTTACCCTCCACAGCTAAATGTGGAGAAGTTAAACCAGTGTCAGCCATTGTTTTACATTTCAGATTAGACAGATCTTTTAAAATTACAATCTTTACATTTTATTTTCATCATTGACAATGCAATGGAACAAAACACATCATTGCAATAAGGCCTTATGTGATACAACATTTGAACTATTTTTTACTTTTAATTGGCCTTCAGACAAGCTGTGTGATCTAGTTGATATCTTTTTGTATTTGCATGAATACAAGCAGTCACAGTTATTAGGAATGGACTGTTTCTCACACAGAATAAAAAGTTACCAAACATATAACAAACATACAGTTACCTATGCAGGAAGGGGCCCCAAATACATTTGCAGCCATGCAATTCCTATTGCAAAGACACAAATGTGTCAATGTCAATTTTCCATACATTTATTCAGCTCTAAGTCTGACTAGTGCGTCCTGCCAGATCAGGTTGTGCTTCTTCTACAGCAGCTACATTTGTACTTGTGTCAATGTGCATCATAAATAGACAGAGACCGATATTCATACAAAACTACAATTTTGGTTTGATAAGATCAATCACATGGCCTTTTATAGGAAATAACGCTTTATTAGTTTTGACATTGGAAGCGTTTGGAAGCTGCCACAACCCTGGGGGCTGTTGCAGAAGCCTGGTCAGATATAAACAGCTTTCTGTATGTTTTTGTTCATCTTGTCCAAAGTGAAATAGGTTTGTCTTTAACAAAGTTTTCATTTTTGTGATTTGAAGCCAGAGGGATGAGGCAAATGGAAGAAATGTGGTCACCTGACTTCTAAAAAGTATTTGTTCTTTTGGCTCTGTGCTGAATCTAAAATGAAATTATTAAAAAGTGGCATATTTATGTTTAATCACATTCATTCTAAACAGATGTGTAGAATAATTTGCTCTGTAAATGACCACTCGCAGCGTAACTGTAATAGATCTAGATCCAATAGTCCAGTAAAGCCTTCTGTGAAATCCATCCCTTCAAGTCCATTTATCCAGCTGTTGGTAACCCGTCTACTGCGTGAAGTGAGGACTTGCGGAGGAGGCAGACATCCAGCTGTCGGTTCCCCCCTGCCCACAGCCTTGGCCGTCAGAAGGTCACTCCAGCCCCGCGTGAGATTAGGTGGCCCGGCAGAAGCTCTCTCCGTGATTGGAGGGTCCTGCTCGTGAGAAGATCCACCCTGGTCCTTGACTGGATTGCCACCTGGGTCTCTTCCTTAAGGGCTCAGCCTTCAACAAGACCGCGCTGGAGGGCACGCGGTGCGTCGCGCCGTCGTCTCATTGCCGCTGATCTGTGATCTGTGAGACAGGATGTTCTCACGTAAGAGAGTGTGAAAAGAGAACCACAGCGCACGTTTATCTCTGATTGACCTGGTTCGGAAGTATGAACCATACTGCTGAATTCTAAAGCAAAGTAAAAGCTTAGTAGTGTTGGGAGTAAGGAGGTTCATCTCTTCCAGTGGACGGTTTCATTGAACATACCTTCATTGCCACAGAAGAAGAGGTTTGAATGTTAAACAGTAACTCTCCTAAAAGTCTATGTGATTCTTTGCAAATGAAAATAGCTGCTGTCATTTTGGACTCACAAGAGTTCCAGTGGGTTCTTTCCACATCTTGTAAAGTAAAACGCTCCCGTCAACTCAAACCCCCCATCTCTCCTCTGTCCATCAGTTTGTACACCGCTGCATTTATTTATTGTATTTATTTAGTATATTCCAAAATGTTGAGCTACTCCTTTAATTTCAGTACTTTACACGGGCCAAGTGGTCGCTCGCTGCGACGTGTGAGGCCTGCTTCGCATCTTGCTCGCGTCCACGTGTGAAGGTGGCGCCTCGCGGTTTGCAGTGAAGACGTGAGAGCGATGAATTGCTTCCTGTCGGCACCAGTGAACCCATTCAGCGCGGGTATTAACTCAGGGGTACGAGCTGTTGTCCGCAGAGAGAAGCGCACAGCTGGACCCGACACACTCTGGCTTCTGGCCAACCTTCACGCCGCGGCCGAGTTATGAGGTGCAACGGAACCCCTCGGCGGTGACTGCGCGTCGCCGTTCGCCCGGGATACGATCACACTCTCAGGGCCCTCGGTCACCGGAGAATCACACAGCAGAAGGAGGAAATATGCGAATCATCTACTCAAGAAGCCCAAAGCTAGAAAACCCGCCGTAATATTTTGGGTCGTATTTGTTCGACTTACAAGCCACTTGGTTATTGTTGTTGATTCGCCATCATTAAAGTATGATCACCAGTGCACATGTTATTTAATAAAGGTGCTGCTGATTTAAGAGGACGTGTAACAGATGTCAGGCTCTTGCACCAACATTAAATAAGTAATTACTTTTGCAAGCATTGCTTTTATACAAATCACTCAAGTCAAGCACAGCATCCAAACGGCTGTTCTCGAGTACCGTGTTTAGTTTCCAGGTTACGGATCTTGATGTCCGCCAGTGAGCACGTCTTTGTTGTTGTCGTACTGACAGCACTGACAGCACTGACAGAATTTAACAAATGTCTCATCCTGCATATATTCTTTCTCTGGCTCTTCGTTTGGATTTTGAGCGGTTACATTTTTTTTTTTATATGCTGATTACATAGTTGAAAATTACTTTGTGTCAAAACATCTGTCATGAATTCCTGAGGTCCAGCGGTTTTCATCAGATAAACAGAAGCCCTTTTCTTTCTTATTCCCTTATGTGTCTCTAAATGAAGTGAAGAGTCGATATCCTAATAGGAATAGTAACGTGACCTGGCCACTCATAAGGGCTCTAGTGCCAGGCTTGCATAGCGGCGGTTAGGGATTTCCTCATATAATGGTCAAATCCTTTTCACATTTTCACTAAAAAAAGATTTAATCTTCTAGAGAGGGGGAGATAGAAGGAATGAGAGTTACTGTCAATGGGAGCTCTGCTGTCAACTTGATCTACTTCTCGAATTTCCGCCAAGCTTTAAACCCCTCAGGAGGCGAAATGCCTTTTTGGCGGTTGCCTGTTGACCTGAAAGTGTTGGTGTTTTACCACTTAAGCTCAACCAAAACAATGACTTCATGGTGAATTTTATTTCTTCTTGTATCAAGTTTAAACATTTTTCCACATGTTCCTAAGACACCACCTCCAACACCAGCTCTTGGTGCAGAGCTCGGCACGCCAGCATACACCTAGTTTAATGCAAAACCAAGCGACCCAAACCACAAGGCCTGCCTCGGGATGCAGCCTGGTGATGAGGCAGAAAATAAACACAAGGGGCCCCTGGTATCGCAAATCTGCCGCCTTCCACTAATCAGCTAACCAAAGGCCAACATCAAACACAGCCGCTGGCTGGAATCAGGGTGAGGCAGAGCAGAGGATTGTTTTATCGGTTGGAATTCGCAGATATCTTTTGACTGTGTGAGTGACTGGCTGGAGGAGCTCACCGGGCACAAACAGCTGGCGAGAGCAGTGCCAGATAAGAGGAGGGCCCGCACACAAACACACACAAAGCATTTTCATTTAGACTTGTTTTTAGGGTTTACTCCATGTAACACAGTGATACAGGTTTTGCAAGAAAGCTCTCCTTGGATTTAAAAACGTATATTAGAACAAACAAATGCAGAGGGGGGCTTAAAATCCCCACCTCGACGCTGTGTTCCTTTCCTCAGCGTGTCCTGCCATTCGGCCATATCACTCACAGATTGCTATCCAGCCGGTTCCCGTCCCACTTTGACGTCTTTCCAGGCGGCGTTCTTGCAGTTCGGCGCTCGGGCTGCGTGCAGACTGATCGCCATCGCAGCTCTGCAGAAAGGCTCCAGGTAGCGTCCCCATCGCGCTGGAATATGTGGGTGGCACTGATAACAGCGGTCAACTGGGCTTTGGTTCCGGGCCCCCACTTCCCACTGTAAGACCTTGGTGATCCAGAAAAAAACCAAGATCCAGACAGACAAGACACACGCACATGCGCAGGCATCAGATAACACGGCGCGATTGGTCCCAGGCAGTGTGCCTCTCTCCTCTCGGAGACTCGGCTTCTCGGCTCTCAACCCGCCGTCTCTGTTTTCTACGCTTGCAGCCTTGGATGTAGTTCTATTTTAAGTAGATCCTATTTAAATTGTGCAACCCGGTCGTTGTTATTCAAACTTTGCTCCGTGCGTCTCTGTTTGGTGCCTTGGAATACACTGTGGTCCCTTTTGATTATTTTTTCCTGGGAGGGAGAGTGTGTCCCTAGATTAGTATCGCTTTTTGGCTAATTAAAGGATGTTTGGGGTTTTCTCCGCATCAACACCGGATCATCAGGCACTTAATCAGCTCTGTCAATAGAGGAAACCCAACAGAACACTAAGCCGGGCCCGGCTGCAAGGTGTCTGCTGGGTAATATTGTGAAAGTGTTGCATTGCGACGTTGATGCAAAGTGTTTATGAAGTGCGCTTGAACCTTAGTGGGATTTAATTGGCCCGAAAGGTCGTGAAATTGCAACCACATGCTCAAGACAGGACAAACAAAGCAGGCGTCACAATTACAGCGCCGCGGGCATCAGCGCGTTCTAAGTCTGACCATGTGGCTTCGCCGTACAGTTAAGACCGGGTGTGCGGGTTGTTGCTCCATTAGGCGCTACGTTTGCCGTATTGTTTCTTTCTTTAACAGTCCGTTTGTTTACACACGCTGCTGCCACCACTAATGGAATGCTCTGTGACGGGCCCAGCTAGCGCTGCTACAGCTGTCGTCCCTTGTGTGGAGTGGAGTTTCAGTAACGTGATAGTAGACAAGGCTCCGTCCGTGGCTTCTGGCAAAATGCACCCCCGTGACTCCCCCCCCCCCCCCCCCCCCCAAATCCCTGTGCCAGCCTCCTGATCATCAATCAGACGTGGAGGTAGCTGCCGGAGGGACGGCTCAGCGCCACCTGATCCAAAGCCATTAGAGGCTCCGGGATGCCTGGTGTTCCTGCACCTCGTCTCTCCACACCCTCTCTGTGTGTCTTTTCGATGTGGCTTCCGCTCGTCCAGTCACGCTGGGACGCATTGAATGCCAAGGCTGTGTGGCCCCAGCATCGGGTCCTCCTCGAGTCTGGATCCGAGTCGTCCAGACCACATAAGGAGGTTGCCTGGCCTGTACAGCGTTTGGATCGCAGTGAGGCGTGGACAGCATCTGGGCACAATCTCGAATCCTTATCAAACATGTCTGTCACATGATCTTCCCCCCAACACTCGAGTTGGTCTCCTCAGGAGGGCAAAGGTAGGGAAAACCAAGGCTGATTCCTGTTAAGTAACTGCTGATGAACCCAACACACGCACAAATTAACAGTTTTCAATCAATGAATCAGCAGAGCTTGTCAGCGGCAGGAATGTAGCGTGTGCACAAAAAAAGAACACTTTTACTTTTACTTATTTTACATAATTTACAAGAATTGAAACTTGTAAACTTGTTCATCAGCCGCTCTATTGCCCACGTAATATACCCGATCTGGTCAGGCGGGCTGCGTCGAAGTGTGGACATAAACATTTGCACACACGGCTTGTTTTCCAGTATGATCACAAAGTGTAACCACGGCCAAAGGTCTGTGGCCAGACCTCATGACGGCATCTCGGCGGGCTGCTTCCATTGTGCACAACTGATCAAGCTTGGTATTATCACTGTTTACTTGCAAAGACCTCAAATAACGAGTGGATAATTGCCGCAGTGTTCTCTTTTTCCCCATTAAAGCCTCTTGGCTCTTCCTCTCCACTGTGCTCTGTTTGTGCGTCTGTGTTTTCAGGTGACTCACGTCTGCTGGAAATGTTTCTGTCTGAATTTGAAGTTCCTTTTCTTTTAAACCTCTTTTAAATCACTCCCACTCCTCTTCTACCTCTCTCTGCCATCTCTCAAGCCAGGGCCTCAAAGCCAAGCCAGGTAAGATCATATCTTGGTTGTTGTTATTCCCAGAAGAGCAATGTGCTTGCTTTTTCCATAGTCTGGGCTCAGGAGGAGCAAATATGCAAAAGCAAGAAGAGAGGGAGAGAGCAGTGAGTCTCTGATATATTTGTTTGGATCACCATCCAGTTATCTCCATGAACAACAGTAATTTCTTCCACTTTCCTCTCTCGGAGGGACGTTTTAATGATTTGTGCAGCACTTTCATGGACCACGGCGCTAAACACCCGTTTGTGTGGCTTTCCTCCAGGGCTTACATCTGTGGAGGGCTGGTAATTAGGCTTTGATGCTTCACGTTCACTCTGTTGGTGCTGCTGGTGTCTCTTGTGAAATGGCTTCACGCAGCATCACAGTGACAAGTCTTTGAACGCTGAGCCTCTGCCAGAAAATACAAATCACAGTAGACTATGTCACTTACTGGAAAGAATAGAGCGCAGGAGTCTGGCGTGCAAAGATAACGCGTGTGTGTGCGTGTGTGTGTGTGTGTGTGTGTGTGTGTGCGTGGGGAGATATCAAGAGCAGTATTTGTCATATCTTGTCCACTGACAAGACGTTATTTATGGAAGATAATTTTGCCTATTTGAGGTTCATAGTTCACATTTGACCTTTGACCTCAAACAATGTTCCCCGAAGGTTAATTTCATTGTGATTCTGGAGCTTTTGATCATGTCACATCCTCCTCATCAGCAGATGGATTTGGACGTGCAATTTCTTTTATTTTTCCATGAGCAATCACAAGGGAACCACTTTGTTTGGGATACACACATTATTTAGTGTTTTATTCTCAGAGCTGATGAAAACAGGTTAGCTTGGACAAAGTCCCCCTACCAGCACCTCTAAAGCTCACACATTGACATGTTTTATATTGTATTACCTTCAGGGGTCCACATTGCATGTGGCCTCTAATGATACGATTTACATCTCTGAGATTTTAATGTGAGATGGTATTAGATGCTTAAAACGTTAAACTGGCGGATTCAGAATACTTGTCATCAGATTTCAGTAATTTAGCAATTTACACTGATGTGTGAAGGACTTAATATTGTTTTTACGATACAAAAGCGTCTCTGGCATGAGCAGCACAGACGCAGATTAACAAATAACATATGACAGTAAATGGGATTAATAGCACTGTAAAGTCACACAGTCAAGTATTTCACTGGTCAACTTCTGAAAAATCAACAGCACATGATCGTCATTACAGACCGCTGATTAACGCATCTGTAATAAAGGTTCCATTATCAGCTTCAATGGGTCTCTTGGCTCGGCTTGATTGACTGAGAAACACGCTGTGCCGGCGTGTTGGGGAGCTGTGACTCGTTAAGTTACTGTAGGGGTTGTGGTATCTTATAATATGAATCCTTGTGGGTTGAATTAGTGATTTGCATCCTTTCCCCCGTTCACACACTGGATGGAGCGAATACGATTAGCGTTGGAAGTACGATCCCCGTGGCCTCCGGAGAATCCAATCGAGGATTCTTTAACAGCTACGGCAATGGTAGCGATTAAAGAGTACTATTTGAAAGCCGCGCTTATCGGCACGGACACCGACAGAAAGCCAGATCCTTGGCCGGGATAAGTGGAAGTTGCGTGCGCACTCAGGACATTAACCACCCGACTAGATTTACTCCAAATGGGGGAAACGAGAAAACAACAGTTTGTGTCCCACCGCACATGAGGTTTGTTTTCCCCGCCTCACTACCAGACTGTGAAAAATCCATTTTAAATGGCACGCTGAGAACCAAAGGCAGATAGAGAGATAGTAACAGGGGACCCGCCGCTTACTATTTTTTCCTGCTGCTAACAAAGACTCCTCTGTGTGAAAGTTCAGACCCCGCTGAGGCTCCGCATCGGCGCTAAACAAGTGCCTTTTAGGGAGAACACAGCGGGCCGCCTTAGTGAGTTTATCAGCAAAGGGAGTGCGTGAACAACCGAGGAGCCCGATAAAGAACAACAATCACAGCACAGCAAAAACACCAGGACAGTTACCGTGCCGCACGGCGATTTCTGTTGTGTGAATTCTCATCGCGGTCACAAAACATCCGCCTGTTGTTCCTTTGTGTGACTTCGATCCCTTTCCTTTGCCTTACCAGGTTGAGCTGCATCTGAAGCCGATCCAGTCTCTGCATCGCCACCAGAAGCCACTGGTCTTAGTGCTGAACTCCCCCCAGCTGCTGATCTGGAAGATCAAGACGGAGAACCTAGAGCCGCACGTCAAACGAACCTTTCTTGTGAGTCCCAGCATCACTCAAAGCCTTTAAATCCTACTTTCCTCACATAGTAAGCCGTGCTTCCGCTTCAGTAGCCTTCTCACTCAGAGGCGCGCCCCGATAACGGTGCGTGCGCGGCCATCGTGGCGAGGCGTTAGTTTCTGCATATACACTCGGGTTTTTGCTACAGATGTGCACTCGTCTCAGAAGTGTGCAGACGCATTCTTAGCGTTTTATTTTGTATGATCGAATGTTTCTGATGAGTACAAGTTGGATTATTATCAGCATTATTATCAACCTTCGCACGTTGGTGGTAAATATATTTACATAAAACAATGTAAGGTCCCGTGTCAGCTTTATTCAACCCCTATAACCACAGGGCCGCGTCCCCGCCACCTCACTCCGTCCCTCCTGTTAGCAGTCTAGTTGATAACCTGGCAGCTGTTCAAATCCGACAGGGCGTATCCGTATACCACAAAACCCCTGACAACGGGGAATGTGTGGTAGCCAACGCTAAACCACCGAAGCTCTGCTGAGCAAGGAGTCGTTCCCTCACCCAGGGGAATTTGCTGAAGTCCTGAATCATCATCTCTTTTGTAAAATGGTTCATCTCAATAGTTGCACGTTGGTGTCCAATCTAAGAGGAAACTGATCCAGATGTGTAACATCAGCAAGACAGTTTTCATCGGGGTCGTCTAAGTGGGACACTGTGACTGTCCAGCACCGTGTGTCTGTAATTTACTCTCCATGTCCCCTTTTCTGCATCATGTGTGCTACAAGAGCACAAGTTGAGAACACTCATAACTGACTCATTCGGATCCGGTTTGCTAAGATTAGCCGACATAAGCTACCGGTCATTTTAACATTTTAATTTGTAGGAAAAGTGTTCCTCCTTCAAAAGGGATCCTGTACGTTATGAAAATCAGAGCAGTCGGCGCCCCTGGAGAGCCGGTAGTCTTTTTTTAGCAAAGGTACCAGGGGGCCTCGCTGGGAAACTTAATAAACAATGTAAAAATGGACGTCTTCATTGACAATGTTTAAAGCCTGTGTATCATATGAGAAAACCAGGAGACCCAGAAGCTTCAGCCTTGGCTTAACTTTACTATATTGCGGTGGAAATGTCCGAAAGGCTTTTCTATATTTTTGGAGTAATCACTTTCAATTGTATGTTAACACCACAGCATTCTCCAAGAATGCCGTATCAGGTACACAAATGATTTCCACATGGGGCCCAGTGGCTCCTTGCTTAACCCTCTAAACACTCGGCCCCAACATGGAGAAAAACATTCATTCTGTTATGACTCATTCCTACACACGCACATGCATATAAAGAGCCCCGTGCTCCACATTGTCTTTGTCCCAGCCCATTTGTGGGTATTTGCAACTTGTTGCATGTAACTCAATAAAATATTAATTAACAATCACCTCTGCATTGACGCATTTCAAGAATTGTTGCATAGCTAAAGGACAGAGCTCTACAAAAACAAAACCTGTTGCATTTAAAGATAATTTTCCAGTGCACGCGTAGGGCCGCAGCTGTCAGAGAACAACATAAAGACACGGGGCCCAAGTGTCTCCTTAACTAATATTTCCTGTACTAATGGAAATAAAGGATCTCGTGTCAAAGGAATGTGTAGCATATCATGCAGATGGATGTCTAGTGTATTTTCCTAAGCCGTGATAACGTGTGGCCAGTGATGTGTGTGTTTTGGTGGGGACCAGCAGGCCTGCATCTCAGTAAACGTCTCCCCTTGTCAGTGGTGGCAGACGGAACACAGCTGACAGCCGTCATGTGACCCTACAGAGCTGTTGCTGTGTGTCTAATGAGGTCGGACATCGGGGCTTTTGCAGAGCCAAAGACTCGTTGCATCTTGGGAGTCTCTAATGAGCAAGAAGATGCAAAACGGGTACACAGACGCTAAGACAGCTTAAGTAGGCTTGATGTATTTTGTGTTTGAGTGACACGACCGAGCGCTCGGGCGGGGGGCCGGGGGGCCGGGGGGACCTGTCGGTGTCATATCCACCAGCCTGACCACACATGGACGCTTCTCTCCCCATTGACCTTCTTGAAATTACTCTAATACATCGTAACACGCTGCTGGATGAACGATCCCCAAGCCAAAAATGAATGAACCTTGTTCAAATTGTTTACAGGATATCTTTCAACCGTTGTTTAATCATAATGCATTTGTACAACTTTTCCACCACCAAATTACGGACTGAGCCTGTATGCAGTTTACATATTGTAATAATGGGGACAGATTAACCACACCTTTAAAGTAACTTAAAGAAACAGTGACAATGACAAAAACATTTGCAGACTTAATAGCTTAATAAGGGCTTTTAGATATGCCCTAGATGGCTGCATACATGATGGCAGACTACATTTAGTATCCTTCCCAGTTAATGATCAATGAGGAAGCCAAAGTTAATGTTGTCACCAGTAAACACATGACGGGAACTTTTATTTTTATATTTATGGTCTCCCAAAAAAGGACACCCCCCGTCCAAATTCTATAAATGCTGAGTCTCTACGCCTTATGCACACCTCCCCAACATATGGTGAAGTCGTAGGCAAGCATGTTTGGTAAACTATGGTGGACAGGCCTGATGCAACTATCTCAACATGTAAGTTAACATTTCCCATTCCGTCCCTCTCAGGTGGCAAAGTCGCTGTGGTGAGATGGTGGAGTAACAGAGTCAAGAGGAGCTGGTTTTGAGCTTAACACTTCAGAACAGAAAGCCACTGCCAGACCTCCCTCGCTCTGCCTTTCCATCTGAGAGGCTGTTTCCGCTGGCTAATTGGACTCTTGATTCGGCCCTGCCAGTCCTAGTTTCCTGGTCCCAGTCCTGTGGGCTCGCTGGAAGCAGACTGGGGCTGCCTGGAAAAGCTTCACAGCACACAATTGCCGTTGGCCAGCGGACCCTGCCGCCTTTCAAAATGCCAGAACCCAGACTTTTGTTGTAAAACATGTTGTTCCGCTCAATACTCTGCGTCAATCAGCATATGGAAAAGGAACGTGAGGATTTGACCAAGGGACGCTGTGGTTCCAAGTGAGACGCGCGTGCAGAGAGCGCTGGGTTGATTTGTGGTTGAGTGCATATATTTCTGTTTTTGATGGTTAGAAGGCCCGTGTCGCATCGCTGCTTGAACGACTCGATCCGGATCAAGTGTTTTGTGACTCTGGACGGAGCAAGCCTGTATAGTTTTGCAGTTTTCTCGCCTTCACACTCTGCAGCGCTTCTGTGGTTAGTCTGCTGCTCGTAGGATGAGCTCTTTTCGATCCCACGGGGTTGTTCTGGTGGTGGGACAAATGCTCAAGTTCCCCCCAGCCGAGAGCCCGCCAGTTCACAACAAGAGACAAAAATCGTGCAGGGAGGGGGGTGCTCAGCCCCCCCCCCCGCCTCCCACCAAGAAGACCCACAAACATTTATCACGTTGATGTCATCGGAGAGTTTATGCATTCTCACATCATCTATCAAGCGCTTTGCATCGCCCCTCCTCTGTTTGCAACACTTCCTAATTTATAAACAGCATTTTGCTGCGGGTGTTGCTCGGCGGAGTATTACAGTTGTATGATAATTGATCTCAAACATTTGGCAAGCGTTCTTTTCTTTGGCTGCTCATATGGTTCTACCATGTTGATGGAAACCTACTGTTTAATGTCTTCTTAGCATTGACTTTAGACGGATATGATACTGAGCCAGCAGTGGGTAAAGCAAAGCCCCCGCCTGCAAATACCATCATAAACATATGTTACATGACTTTCTGTCATTACGAACATGAAAGCTGGATTGTCAGTGTCCCGTCGTACGAAACCAACTTCTCCTCTGCGTTCTTTGTTTGCGCTGCTAAGTCTGAGGAATTCCTCTTGAGTCGATGTTTCATGTATTTCTTAACCTCAGATCACATTACGAGGCCTTCACAGTTCTACTGTCAAGAAACGTTCTGGCAGTGATGGTAACAGATTGCTCCATTCTCACATAGTGGGGTTATTTAGTTGGCAGCAGGCTGCCGCTGGCTCTCGGACCTTTTGGCCTAACTTTGTTACAAAAGTAACAGCATTCACAGAGTGACGGCTTATGTAAATAGTCAGCACTACAGTATATTTATATGTACAGTATATATTCCTCTTCAACCAATGAAAGAAATTGTACTTCACTTTCCTGCACTTAAAGAGCTCTTTTTTTTTTACGTTTGCACACTTTTTGGTGATGAGAGGTGGGGAGGAAGACATTCTTAGAAGAAGGAATATAGGAGTAGTAGTTGGAGTCAGTACCAACCAGTCCCCACATACTGTATATAATTAATGGATGTAGTTCCATTGAGGTTTGTTTGTGGACCGGCGTCTTGAGGCCTCGAGTGGTCTTTTGGCGGTCGGCATTTGTTTTCTTTTGCAACCAGAAGAGACACGAGATCTAAGAGGAGCAAAGCACAACCGTACATTCATTAAGAACAAAAGGTTAAGATGAACTCTCATCAACTGAAACCGCACTCTGAAAGGGTTACAGTTCTAAGCCGAGAACAGACAACGCCGCCGCTGTAGCGACCTGTCAATCAAACGGTAGCCCCGCCCTAAAGCATACCAGCTTTATGGTCTATTTCACTCTAAATGGGACCATGATTTACAAAATGAACATCATGGTGCATTGAAGAGGACTCCGTCATATTTTAATAAAATGCAAACAAGAGATTTGTAATGTGAGGTTTTAAAAAAATGCACAATGTCATGTAACATTAAATTGGGCCCTTCAGAAGATTTGAATGATAAATGAAGTTTTTGTCATGCAGCTGTGAGCAGAGGGAAAGACAAGTGAGCACAAGCCGTGAAAACTATCTTCCTCCGCAATCTGCACTGCAAGTGCGTTTTTCTTTTTGTTTATTTTGGAGAAAGCTGCTTGTGTGCGTGTGCCAACTAAAGCCAGCTAAAATCATCTCGCCCCACTAAACTGCGATAAGACGTCTTATCGCAGTTTAGTGCCAAATTGACCACCAAAATTCCACCACGCAAACTAATCATTATAACGCAGCGCCTCTCCTCCCACCTCGGCGCAAACACTTTTATTTTGTTGCCGGAAAGCCACCAAACTGGGGCAGAGATTAAAAAAATAATAGAGCTGCAACAAAATGTGAAAGTATTTGGGGGTCCGTCAACGGAGCATGCAGCAGGGGAGACGGAGGGAGAGAGTTTGTTAAAGCCCACGCTGGGTGCCACACTTCCCTGGATCAAATTCCTGAGGTTTTCAGTGCTTTGGGAGGCCTCCAGCTAATTTAGCTTTCAGGCTTTCCCCTCTAATTCTTTGCGACTAATTATAGTCTTATTCCTGCAATTACACTGATAAACTCTGCTGAGCTTGGCAAGGTTAGCTGTTACCCTCCCCCCTCCTCCCCCCTACTAGGGCACCGCCTTCCGCCATCTTTCCCTTTGTTGCTTCCCGCCGCAGTAAATACACTAAAAACAGAATCCACATGAGTTCTTCAGCAGAGCCCGTCTCGTCGGCCCCATTATTTACTGCCTCTGGTGACACGACGAGAGGAGCGTCTACCGGTCAGACAGATGTTGCGCAGCAGGGGGATTTGAACAGTTTTATCTCCAAAAGCTCAACAACACAAGATAGATATTATTGTATTATCGTTCAAGCGCGATTGCAATTTAGGGACAACTTCGTAACATCATCGCCAAGAAGTGGTCTTACGTATTCATATTGGATCCGATTTTATGTCTTAATTAGGCCCTCCAGCTCACGCACACAGATAGGACACCGAGAGAAGCGCAAAAGCATGCTGGGAGTTTTTTGCACAGAGCTGCGATAAGAGCAGCTCCGTTTTGTCCTCAAACACTTTTAACGCTTTCTCTTCCTCAAGGTGCCCGAGGGCTCAGAGGTCCACTTCCAGTCGGGGAGCTTCTCCCTCTGCCAGATCCAGAAGGAGACCCTTCCCCATGGCAACGAGCACCTCCTCAACTGGGCCCAGAAGAAGTACGGGGCCGTCACCTCTTTCTCTGAGCTCAGGGCGACTCAAGACATCTTCATCAAAGTCGGAGAAGGTGTGTGCTAGATTCCCAAAATTCCCAACATAGCTCCCGGGGCCTCGAGGCGCGCCTTGCCCCCCTGCTCCCCTTCAGCTGCCGTAACTTAACTTAGCTTTGTGTTTGAACACTGGCTAAAGGTTTACGGGCGCAACTCTGGGAAAAGAATTTCCTTCCCTCAACGGGCATTCGCCCTTTTACTGTTTCACAGGACACGGTGGTATCAGGGACAGTAGTAGTGAGTTCTGAATGATGAAACATATCCATTGTGCATAGTTATTCATGAAGACGTTGAGGCCTGCCTGACATGAAGGTGCACACCTGAGTTTTGTCAGAACACAAATGACGTTTACATTTAATTGCCACAAGCCATCGTTTGTATGCTCGAGGTCCACGTCGGCTAATGGATGAACTGTGTGATCCCACGAAGCATTTTTCTGCCCTTAACTCAAGAATTGAAATGTCAATGAAGACAATTTCACACAGAAAACTAACTACAAAACCACAATAGTGATTTAAAAAAACACAGTAAAATATTCAGCTATTTTTTACTTTAGAGCAGAGGTCTTCAACAGGGGGTCCGCGACCCCCAAGGGGTACGCGAAGGTACTGCAGCGGGGTCGCGAAATTTTTCAAGACAAATTGATAAGACAATTTTTTTAAACCAATTTTTCCCCCCACAAATGTAAATGTCTTCAGAATCAGAATTTTATTTATGGTCTTTAAATACACATTAACATGAATCCAACATATTGAAGCGAACGGATAAATTGATGGAGAAGACGTTATCCGTCAGTGCGCAACACACACGTCCAGCTTCCCTCAGCAGCTCTCAAGCTGGACACCGGTTCACTCACTGCTCCTTTCATGCGAATACGACAGCATATAAAAACAGCCATAAAAAGCTGAGCTAACACATCAGCCGAAGGGGCCTACATAGGTTGACCAAATGTCACCAGAAAAGAATACGCAGGCAAGAAGGGGACAGATCACCGGCACCATATTTTTCCTCTGAGTATGGTGGAGCGGAGGGGGAGGTAGGAGGGGGGGGGTGAAGAGGGGGCTGAGATAAACCTCCTCACGTGGACTTTTCTTTCCACTGGCCGGCCCATTATTCAGGGAACAGCACATCCCGGCTCTCAGACGGGCCATCTTGACTTTCAATGAGCATCCCTCACCACGTGGAAACAAAACAAGGCCCACGTCTGCAGAGGAGGAGCGGCTGATAAGCTCTCCCCTCCCGTGCTGTCAGTTGCCGGGGAGCACTGAGTGGCTGCTCAGCCTGCGAGCGTTTGGCTTGTGTCACTAGCGCGGGCTGTGGTTTGGCAACAGCCCAGAGCGCCGTAGTGTTCAAGAAAAGAGCCGTAGTTTTCCACTGGTCGCTCTGCTCGGCCACCAGAACTGCGGCGGAAGTCTTCACCTCATTGCAAGGGCTCCGGAAAAAAAGGTGCCAACTGTCACCTTGTTTGCCAAATAAGGAAGCAGCTGTCTTGTGTTTTTCTCTCAGTGCTGAGAAAGGGTGGGATTTTTTTTTGGAGCATTTAACACATTTTGAAACAATCATGAAGGTGGAGGAAAAAAAACACCACCACCATGATATAAAAATGTGTTAATGAATATCATTGTTCTGTTATAGTTGAGCAATTCTGTTCAAAACATTGCTTACTAAAGACCAGAAAATCCATCTGTCTGTTGATAAGAAGGCAGGTCATGCCAAGCCGAGCGTGGGCGACCTCGCCCACCGCCCCCGGCCCCCTCGGTCAGTGCCGAGGTGATGGGAACACCAGCTGCAGGCTGTGTGGGGAAGTGTGCAGGGAGACTCAGCTGCAACCATGCAAACATGCACCCGGCCCAAGTCTCCGAGAGCGGGGCGTCAAATTCCTCTCACAAGCAGAGCAGAGAGGGTCGGGGGGGCCGGGGGGGCGCTCCGTCGTCAACCTCGTGGCTGGGGGAGTAACAAAAATGCTGTGTTTCTCCTTATGGGAGGTCAAAATAGCCTCAAGGAACCCCCGACCAGTAACGCAAACAATCTCCCCTCTTTCAGATCCGTTTTTTTCTGACACCTGCAAGATTGATACCAAGTTCCTGTCTCTGAACTACCTGGGCGGCTACGTGGAGCCACAGGCATCAAAGGGTTGTGTCTTATCCGGCCCAGACAAAGACCAAGAGGTCCACATCGTTGAGCTCCAAGCCCCCAACTCCAGCAGGTGAGCGGCCAAAGCCAAGAATCCATGTTGTTATAGTTTATTTTCGAGGTCAAGATGCTCTTACTGAGCTCCAAGATGTTTGTTTTGGAAGGCATCTCACATGAGGCAGGGGGAGGGGGGGGGGGGGGGGGGGGGGGGTTGGTCTTCACTCCGTGTTCTTTTTGAGAAGGATATTTCAAAACTGAGTGTCGGAGTGCCAGATGATCTCCTCACTCCCCCAGTGGAGTGATGATTCAGTTCTTCCAGAAGAAAGCAGGATCAGTAACTTCTATCTGGTCTGTCTTGCATAAGTCTGCCTTTTTGGGGGGCGGAATGTTTTTTTAATTAGTTGGCCAGACACCGGAGGAGCGATAAGACCACGTAGACCTCATCGTTTAAAATTAATTTCTGTTCCCTCCCCCCTTTGTCCCGCAGTGCTTTCCAGGTGGATGTCATAGTGGATCTACGACCTCTGAAGGACGACGTCGAGCTGCATCGCGACGTCGTCTTGCTGCTCAAGTGCGCCAAGTCGGTCAACTGGGTGATCAAGGCCCAGAGGGTGATTGGAAAGCTGGACGTGGTGGTAAGCATGGCAGCACAGTAGCTCCTTATTCAGGTCCATCTTCACCACTGAGATTTAATGCCGCAGCGGCTCACGTGTCACGCCGCAGACAGAAATGGCTTCACAATTTTATCACCCCAGACTTTTTCGTGCGTCAAATCAGCGCCTGCTGGGGATAACGGGTTGCAGGGGAGCTGTGAAATTCCACGACGGCACCTCCTGGCATTGTCATCAAAATCAGAGAGACCGGGGGGGAGGGGGGGAGAGGCAGAGCGAGAGTGCTGGGGGTGTTACACGTGTTTTTCAGAGCCAAGAGTGCTGCTGTACTTCAGCCGCACACAGAACCTGAGCTGCTGAATCCCGTCAGTGTCAACCTGAGATACCACCTCGCCCCAGGCGCCTTCTGAAGCTGCGAGGCGCACACAGAAGATACACAGCGGCTCATTACTGCGATGTATCAGAATGGCCCCTACTTAGAAATATGGTTTTATAATACTTATCAAAGCTGTGTGGGAATATGCAGTTTTGATAATAAATCTTTATTAGTGCTGCTCAACTCTCCCATGTCCCTAAGGAACTATAAGAATACAACACCTATGTACACTTTGGGAGAGTAGTTCAGCTGTAGATTATGTTTATGGGGAATTGGAATCTAAATACTTTAAACTGCTCCAGGGATGGAACTTTAAACCTTGGCTTTTCTACACTGCATTAATACCAAAGGAGACTCACCAATGTCACATTTATCCAAATACTTTTGGTATTTTCCGATGAACTGCCGTCGCTAGGCCTGTGCTAATTTCAGCAGAGGTGTGCGGGGGGGGTTTCCTCACTGTGTAACTCCAATGCTCAGCCATGACTCTGCACTTTTACCGGGCGCAGAGTGTTTGTACAGCTGCTGAATCCCCGCTGTGCAGAGCCTCGTTCCGCGAGGACGTGATGCCAGGCCAAAGCCTGTCGTACGCACACCAGCAGAAGTGGATCGTAGTGCTTCTGGTGGACACGGATTGTGGTGGAAGTTTTACGTGAAGTTACTGAAAAACGTGAATGCTTTGTTCAACTATTGATGTGATTTGATAAGCTCATAAACGTGAGCCCTTGCTTCTGTCAGAGAGCTGGTTCTCCTCAGCATCTCTCAAGAGACCCGAATGTGCGGGAAATGGCTGTGAGAATTAATCAGTTCTGCATGTTAGTCGGCAGGGCAAGACACGACAATTGGGATCAAACCAACATGTTGGGTTCTCGACACGGATCGAGCGCCAAAACGCCCATTAGCTCACACCCATGCACATGATTCACACGTGCAGAATGAGAGCAGGACTGTACTTGAAGTTGGAAAAAACGGTGAAGCAGTGAATCATTTCTTTTGTTCGTCTTAAAGGAGCTTTTGTAAATATGTTCTCTTTTAGAAATGACAACTTGTTCTCACAAGATAAGTTACAAATCTGCTTTGTTCTCCACAGGCCTCTGATACCGTGAGTGTCAGTCTGAATATGGAGCGACTGATGCAAGTGTCAAACTCCCCCAAACAGCTCTTGCCATCGGGGCCTCAAGCCTTGATCAAGTGGGCAGCGGATCACGGCTACGGCCCAGTCACGTCCTACACCAACACTCCTGTGGCTAACCACTTCAACATCCGACTCAGAGAGCCAGGTAAACTGAAGAAACACCCTCAGAATGATGTTGTTCTAAAGCAGATAAACAAAAAGCATGGACAGGTAAACAATAGCTTGACATTTAGCAGCTGCTCCAACTAGCGTTGGACATTTTACAGTTCTTAGCCAATATGGCAAATAAAGCTCAGTCTGATTCTGATTCTTATAGAGGAACTAGGGGGTTGTCGTGGCGCAGGGGTTAGAGAAGGTGTGCTGGGAAGCACAAGGTTGTTGGTTCGATTCCAGGCTGCCCCATGTTCCACGTCGAAGTGTCCCTGAGCAAGACACCTAACCCCTAATTGCTCCCCGGGCAAAATGTGACAAAGCCTTGGGTTTAAAAGTGTAATGTAAGTCGCTTTGGATAAAAGCGTCTGCTAAATGACCTGTAATGTAATGTAATGTAATGTAACTAGCGTGAAATCGTGAGAGGGTTTTATAGTCGTGGTCACGTGTAATTTCCCTCCCCGTAAAATCAGCCTCATGAGGTTCCAACTATGTGTGCCTTCCAGATGTGGTGGATCCTCTGGAGAGCATGTTGCCTCCAGAGCTCTCCATCCTGCGCGACTCCAGTCCCCATCCAAGACCCAGAGCTGCAGCCCGGCGCTCCAGTCTGCCCTTCCCCCTCCACCTGCCTGCGTCCGACGGTCTGCCCTTTTCTCTGCCCTCCTTTTCCGACCACCCGCCCTGGGCGGGCGGGGAACCCGACAAGCATCAGGGCGTCCTGAGTGTCGGCCTCAGCGTGCAGTGTGAGGACACGAGGATGGTGGTCAGCATCAATAAAGAAAGCCTGCAGGTGAGCGGTTTGCACAGCAGAAAAAGTACAGACAGCTGAAACCAAAAGCATATTGTCATACAAATACCAAATAACATTAAAGAGACCGTAGAATTATTTACTACCAAAAATATAAATGTATTGGTTTTAGTGAGAAGATTTTTTTTTGGTCAATCAGCTATTTAGAAGAATGTCCATCCAGTGTGACATAGACAGATGCGTGATAACACTTTATCTGAACAAAAGAAAGGAAATATGCCTTTTCCCAGACAAACGTAATGCAGTATGAATGAAAAAGCTCATTTCGGGGGGTTACGGTTCAACTCACAGTTGCCACTGTTGTCTTTTGGGGGATTTGTTCACTGTCTCTGTTCTTGCGACACAAACTTGATTTGACAAGCCGAGACAGAAGGAGCAGAAAACAACAAACACGGAGGACACAGTGCCAGGGTCAGGACCAATTAGGGGGCTGAATGAATGCCTTCTGCACTGCGATTACAATGCCAACACAAACCTCCGTGTCGGACTTCTTTTGGGTATCTGAGAAGCGACTCAAGCTTGCACTTTTTTATACCGCAATGCCAACGCATCAAAAAGTTTACTTGGAGATTGAGAAGAGGTCCTTCAGCTGCAGAGGAACTGATAAATAAAGTTTCAGGTCTAAAGAATAAAAATATAAAGAAATCTAGTGTAGAAGTGCAATAGCAAATGTTGTCATGGTATGCAAAAGCTAACATTGAAGCGAGAACGACGTTTCCCAGCGTTTGGCGTCAGCGCAGTCAGCCCACATCACAGAATGGAAACTGGCATAGACTGTAATTAGGAGAAGCTGTGGCTGGAGCTAGACCACCTTGTGGGATTTGTTTATTCCTGGGAACTCAAAGCCTCACACAACCGCGTTGGCATTATTTTATTCTGAAAATGAGTTAATAAAGGGAAGGCTTGTCTTTTTGATGCTTATCCAATGTTGCCATTTTCTTTTTCTTTTGCTCAGGCGAAGGGTTTTACTCATGCCAACCTCACTCTCAAAGACCCAGCTTGCAAAGCAACAGTCAATGCCACCCACTACACTCTGGAGACTCCTCTGACTGGCTGCCTGACCACCGTGTTCCCCATGACGGGGAGCCCAATGGCCTTCCACCTCAACTCTGTGAGTACCGCAAAGTCACACATCAGTCATGCAGATAAAGCTGGTTTACCTGAAGCATTTCAGAATGGCCGGACAGTTTCAAATATAATTCCAACCGATGCAAAGACTCATTGTGTTTTCGTTCTTCATGACTGCATATGGAGCGGATCTTTTTTTTTTAATCACTGGGTTTTATAGAAATAACATCACTTAGATTCCAACATGGAAAATCTACCACCGATGCTTTACTAGTCGAACTAGGTGGAAACGCCTCCTGAGTGGAAGCTAGTTAGCACAGCTTGCCAGCTTCCGTCTGGAACGAGTGCAATACAAACGTCTTAAACCGCCGATGGTACATAAACAAGGCTTTGTGGCCTTGTGGAGGACGAGGTATCAAATGACATCCTCCAGTCGGCAGAGGGTGACGGAAGTTGGCAACGTGGTTCCTAGCGTGGCCAGCTACCGGACGTCAAGAGCAGCCACTCGTGGCTTGAAGCTTAAACACATTTCCACAAATAGGCTTTTCTTTTTCTTTTTTTGGATGAATAGCAAATGGAAAAATATGACGAGTGTTACATTTTCATGTACCGGTGAACAGGATTCAGCATTCACTTCTTACATCCCATTATTGTGGAATGCATTCATTCAGTGAGTTTGTTCTAACAAGCAAGGATGAATCACATCCTCTCCGACCTTTTGAGATCTTTTGTGGGGAGAATTTGGAACAACACATTCGCTGTGCAATGCATTAGAAAACGTGGGCACTTATCCAAGGTCATCTTTTGTGTAAGCACTTGGACGCAGGGATAACCTCTGACCTCCAGTCAAAAGAGAAAGAAATTTCCCTGTCTGTGTCCCTGCACATCAAAGACAGTGGGTTTAATTCAGCTGCGGCACCAACGGCTGATCGGCTAACTCATTTGTGGCAATAAGCGGCGGCCCTCGTGTCAGACCCCCGACATTCCTCCGCTCTACTAAGAAATGAAAAGTATGTTTTGTGTTTCTGTCCAAGACGAGTCCCCCAGCCGAAGCCACAGGACATTCCCACATTTCAAATCCAACTCATCGGTGGCAGAATGTCTTTCGGCTAATCCTCTCAAAAGATTCAAATAGCTCTGTCTTTGGCTCACGGAACAACAACTCACATTTGTTTTAAACAGAGAAAGTCTGGAAAGGATTTACTGACGCTGCTTAGGTTCTCGTGAGTAACGTTCTGTACGTCTGTGTGGATTGCAGGTTTGGATAACTCGTGCTGAGATCAAGGATGGGAGTGGCAGGCCGCTGGATTACGAGGATCTGGAAGTTGGAGACGCGGTGGAGGCAGGCAGGACGTTCACGGAGCCGGCAGAGCAACCGTCAGTCATACGGGTGAGATTCATTGTGGCGTTTGTCCCTGTGAGAGCTGCAGCCCTTTGCAGGATGAAGTCAAGAACAACCTGGCGTCCTAACGTGGTCAAACACTCACCGGCGAGGTGAAGGTGCTTAGCACGGCTGTCACGATCCCTCTTGATGCTTGTGTTGCCGTCGTCCCATTCTCCTCCTAGTTCAACTGCACGTACCGTAAGAGCCAGGAGACCTCAGCAACCCGTCCCAGGATTGTACCGGGGCCAGGAAGGCAACCGCCGAGCAACATGACCTTTAACATGGACTTGTACGACACGCCGGCGTTCAACAAACCCTCCCGCCAGGCCTTCTACACCGTCTCGCATCAGCAGCGAGTCTTTGTGGAGGTAAGCCTCGCATTTCTAATAAATGATCGTCTCATGTCCAGGCACGTGCCGAGCACGTTTTGCAGATTAATGCCATGTTTGTGTTATGCAACGTGTACTTTTGCTCCCAAATGAAGGCTTTAGTATGAAGACTTCTTTCTGTCTTGGACTTTAACCGCTTTGATCTCTCAGCGCGGCACCAAAATACAAAGTCAATTTGTATTTTGTACAGCTGCGGCTCAAAAATCTACAACGTACTTTCACCTCCTTGTATTCGTGGTGCCTCGCCCTCTAGTCTGTCTCTGTATGCTCAATTATGGTCATGCTGCAGATAGCAAAGACTTTTACTCTAAGGTAACTTGACAAGTTGATTTATGATTATATCAGCGGGAGGTGCTTCACTGAGTCAGATAGTTACAAAGGATCGTCTGTATCTGTGTGCCAGACCTTTTTCAATGTGTCCACCATCACCGATATTTTATAAGAAGGGGGAATAATAACTTAGTGGTAGGTGGAAGGTGGAAAGACATGAATAGCATTCTAACAGAGACACAATTTTGAGAAGTCTGTTGTCATCAACGCTCTCTATAGATGTTGTTACCAGTCCAACAGATTCGTTTTGAGTCCACCCTGTAGTAATAGTAAAATGTTCCCTTTTAACTTGAATGTTTTCTTCTCCAGGTCTCATCAGCTGCATCAGATCCGGAGCTCGGGTTCATCCTCGTATCGTGCTTCATTTCCACCAACTCCGACCCCAGTTTGGGCTCCGACTACACTCTCATTGAGACAGTCTGCCCCAAAGACCAATCGGTCACGTTCTGTCCTCAGGAGGATCCCCCTGTCCCTCACACGCCGGCCGAGAGGCAGAGCTTCAGCTTCACCTTCAACTCAAACTTCAACACGTCTCTGCTTTTCCTGCACTGCGAGATGTCTCTGTGCTCCAAGAGACCCCAAAGCAACGGGAGACTACCAACGGTATGCAGGATGGTTCTATCGATGATATTATTATTATTTGGCCCGTGCAAAGATTTATATGATATAAAGCATTAGTAGTGTGGTTTTTTGGGACGGTCTTAAGTTGGTGTAGTAGTGCGCCAGCATTACTCCGGCTGTCCCGGGCCGTTCAGTATCAGGTCTGCACCAAAGGCTAAGCAGGAAACATGAATCAATGTCAGGATGTCCAAGCATCCGGCTGCAGAACCACATGAGCAACTTTCATCATTATTACTGTGCTACTTGTCAAACTCATCCAATGTCTTGCATGCACTCAGCTATCGTTTTTGATGCCTCTCGTCACAAAAAAAAAGTAGGGATAAAGTTGTGGCTAACTTATGACGTCAAAGCTGATTTCGCTCATTAGTTTGTTTTCTAAATGTATACACCTGTCGGATGTGGCAATGGACATTTACTAGAGAAATGTGAATGTTTGCTTTTTTCCCCCTAAAAACAAAATCACAGAGCCTTTAACTCCTTTTCCGAGTTTGTTTTCTTCACTGTACGTTTTTACTTGAAGTACATTCTGTCCCCACAGTGCTTACAAACCGGTGAGAGCTGCGATTCCATTTCCATGGACAACATCCTGACAATGATGATGAACAAAAAGACGTCTACCAAGCCGCTGGTTGTGGTGGACGGACCTGGTCAATCCGAGGACATGGGTGAGTTGAGAGCAAAGTTACTCAGATCTCATGGCACGAGTTCAACACACGTTGGAGTTTGGTGTTAACAGCGTTACAAATGATGACTTAAGCTCTGACTTCCATTGTTTTGATTATAAAGTGTGATAAGGATACTGGAGTGAGGGAAGAAGCTGGCCTGAGGGCAAAGCAGCCAGAGAAAATTTACCATTAGCCCAAAAACCACAAAAAACTCCACATCACTTCTCCACATCTGGTCACCATTAACTTCATTATGTGCGTGATTGTGTATGCGCCCACGTGTCTGTGTACATTAGCGCCTGTACACAATACTGTGTGTCTGGGCGTGTTTGTCTGTACATGCAGGCGTGTGGTCGACTGCATTAAACGAGTCCGTGCTAACGCTGAGGCTCGGCTGCTGTGGACCGGTCCGTGCTGAGGGAGAGGTGGAAAAAGAAGCAATTATACAGCACCAAGCGCCAGTTGTTTTCACTTACGACCTTCACTAGGGCCTCCCCTTTCCACTAGAGAAGGAGAGGAAGGGTGTGTGTGTGTGTGTGTGTGTGTGGAGAGGGGAGGTTCTGCTTTGGGACTCCAGCCAGACCCTAAAGGCCCCTGGACCATCACTCGTTGAGTCGCTCATGTATTTCCAAGTCTGGAGCAGCATGCGGATTGGGGGCGGAATGAGCAACCACAGTTACAATGAAATAATTATGATCTAATGACATGGGGTAATATCATGAGTGCCCGATCTCTGGCGGACTGCTGGAGCATTTCAGATCAGCATCCCCCCTGAGCAATGACATCAACATAGTGGTCAGTTTGAACTGCACTGACTCATGGTTTTAATATAAATCACATTATTTTAATCAGTGTGAGCCGGAGCATGACTAATGTATCAGCACAGCCGATACTGGTCTGTTCAAGCTTAGTGTGGATATATGTATCGCATTGGTTTGTGCTTCAGCTGATGGGGACACAGACACGTATTTCACAGAGTGTCACATACATATCTGGCCGTCCAGAGAGCACTGACAAGCGGGATTTTTTGAAAGACACATTCTGCATAAACGGACCCGCACAATTCAGTTGGTTTGCCCGAGGAAAGGCCTAAGCACGTTTCCAAATGAAGATGATGTCACGGCAGCTTCACGGGGCATCGCTATGGCGATCAGCTGAGAGTAAAATGAAATAGAGCAAAGCACCCATTGTGCAGGTGAACCAGGTACTGGAATTAGGCAATTGGCTGTGATATGACCTGAATAGCTTTTGGGCTGTTAGTGAGCACCTGTCAATTAAACAGGTATGAAAATGAAAAGAAATTGATAGTTGTAGCCATACAACATCATGTTGGCAAACAAATCCATTTAAGGAATATTTTTAAAGCTAAATATATATATATATATATATATATATATATATATATATATATATATATATATATATATATACTGTTAAATATCAGCCCAGGCGATCCAGTATCAGTCGGCTGTAGCGTGAGCTGAGACAGTTGTACAGTTGATCACGGGGGGCGTTCATGTATATAGCGGCAGTCCCTTTGTAGCACAGAGGTCCCAGTGTTGATGTTAGAGAAGCTGCGGAAGGTATTGCTGCAACTTCCAGTAATGAGTGAGTGGGCGAGCCACACTGCACCGGATCAGGTACTGCCAACCACGTTACCATGCCAGGGCTGCAGGGTTTATTTTCCATGGTACAGATAAAGTAAACACAAAAATGCAATTAACAGTGAAAAAAAACTCCTATTTAAAATGTCTTGTGCTAGAAAGGTAAGCAAAACAAGCTGCCTTTTTAAGGGCTACGGGTCAGCATTGGACACTATCCCAATGAGCTCAACTTGATCTACAAATCAAAGAAGGACACTTTTAGCCAACGTGGTGCATGGAAAAACATAAAAGCCTCAAAGTAGATTTAATGCTTCACAATACATTTTACTGGATCTGCTAACATTCAGGAAAGGTTAAAAAGTATCATGTGGGAGTCTGGCAGTTGATAATTTTGTTGCACCATTACAAGTAGTGTTTCTGTGAAAGCCTGCAAAGGAAGAATATGAAAAACCTATAAGTGTGGTTTATTTAAATTTAACTTTAATGTGTACAGTAATGTAATTTAACTCAGTAACAGGGTTCATTTAATCTATATGCCAGGACGAGGCTGCAGCGGTAAAGTGTACTTAAATTAACACGCGTAGATTAATGTGTTGAGATTGCTCTTCTGTGATAGATATCAGGACAGTGGCAGACTTTATTTTTCACTTTTTTCCACTTCCTTGCAGTTTGGCTTTCTTGAAGATTTTTTTTTTTTTTTTTTTAAGTGCGAACAAAATTGGCTAAACATAAATTTAAAGTCTGGCTGTAAATCCGTACACCACCACATAAGCACGAGTAAACAAGCGGGGCGGGTCTCTTTAACCGCAGACCTTATCTCAGCCACCAAACCAAAAGACAATAAAAAGAAACTGGATTTTACGGACAAGGTAACCAAGAGTGCAAAAATGCTGACTCATTTCCCTGTTTTAGGACTCAGTCCAGCAACACTCTTCTGTCTCATTGTCTTCGGTTTAAAAGCGACAGTGAGGAGAGTCATGTAAGCCTCCCCACACTAAACATAAGGTTTTGTTGGCCTCCTCTTTGTGCCCACACTGACCGCTCCCTGCAGCCTTCGCTAAGTCACATGGGACAGATATTGCGGGGGTGAAGTGACGAGGGGTGGAAGTTTAGCAGAAAGGACGTCCTCTGGCCATCGTCCCCGATGATATTAAAGTCCCCTCGGTTGACCTGTCATCATCCCTTGTGCGATAAGAAGACTCAAGGGTGTCCTGTCCGAGAATAGTGCCCATTGTGCCAGAGTCTTGGGCACGAACCAGACTCGCCTCTTGAGTTTGCCCCGTACACAAGCGCCTTTGTATTTTTTTGTTGAGACATCATCGCAGCGGAGTTCACTTTTGCAAGCCTTCCAGATGGCTTGAAATGAAGCGGTCAGGGGGAGTCAGCAGGTTCATCCTATAGGAGCCTTTCAGCTCGCAGAATAGCTGCTCTCTTTCAGCGTTTTTTACTAGTTCGGGTTTCTGTGTCACATTCCTCACAGAGCTGCTCATCAACACAGGATAGGGGTGTAAAGATTCATATTAACAACGATTCGATTCGAATCGCGATTCATGGTTGCCGATTCGATTCATGGACGATCTGGGTTAATATAGAACGATTCGATTCAGTGACTTGAAATCGATTCAGTAACTTTACTGGACAGTCTGAGATCCCTGTTGATCCCTGTTGTTTCTTGTAAGGAAATCAGGTTTAAATTAATTATGGATATTATAAACAAGCAAACAACAATTAATGGCAAATATATTAACCTTTTATTTGAATCAAGTGCCATTTTCAATGTAAACATTACACAATATTTACACAATGTTTGGATCAATTTACAGAACCCTGGATGTTCAACCTCATTGTAGGGTCGCATGTCTTTACAGATAAACTTGGCAATTGTTACTGTGATGGTGAGTTTGGTGCTGGCGAGGCCTGAGGTGTCTGCAGAGCTGAGTTACCTGCTTCTGCAGCGGTGACGCTGCTGGAGGTCCTGACTGTCGGCGTTGTTTAATCCCACGGCGCCTTAGTAGACGGCCGGAAAGATTCGTGGTGTTTCCGTGTTTTTTATTTGGCTTCTACATATTCTACAAACAGCGACCGACTTATTTAGAACACCTCCGTGTTTGCAAAAGCCAAAATGTTTCCACACGCTGGATCGATAAGTTGGTTTGTAAATGTCTCGCTCGCAGTCGTCTCCTCCACGCTGTGTTTTGTTGTTGTTCTGAGTTTCGCGCGGCTGCCGCTGCGTACAGATGACGTCACAGGCAGGTAGACTGAATCCAGTAACGTTAACGTGTCTAAAGTGCTAAAAAACAAACAAACAAACAAAAACACATCCATAACTTTTTTGTGCTTAAATCCAATGTGCAGTTTCCATGTATCGATACAATCGCTTATGTACCATTTCAATCGATTTGTAATCGATATATGTCGTCCGGAATGCCGATTTGCGGAGCACAGATCGATTCAGTTGGATCGCAGGAATATAAATGGATTAATGGATTCAGTGAATGAATCGTTACACCCCTAACACAGGACCATATCAGTAAACTGCTGACCTCTGGCCTGGCTGACTTCATCAGTAATTAAAATGAACAATTCCATCTCTGCAGCATCCCTTGAATTATCATTATTTGTTTTTGTTTTGCAGGAACTCCTTCTCACCCACACGGTCCTCCCGATGACGGTACGTTACTGTTTTTACTCGTTCATGTGTTAATGGAATATGGAAACGCAACCAATTTGCATTTCTTATGTCAAAAGGATGCTTAACATTTGCTTGAAACATGGCTTAAGATGAACCAATAAATAATGAAATGATTTCAGAAATTAACAATGGATTTGCTCATCACAACTTTACTCATGTAATTCTCTTTTGTAATTTCCCTGTCCACGTGTTTGTCTCCCCAGCTGAAGGGCTGTCCGTGCTGGACACTCCGACGGTGGTGGGGATCGCCTTCACGGCCTTCGTGATCGGGGCTCTGTTGACTGGAGCCCTGTGGTTTATCTACTCGCACACAGGTAGGTGCCTCACCTGCTGCTCCACGGCCCCGGCTCACCTCGCCGCCTTAATGAAAAGATAAGACTCAAAGGAATGTTTGAGGGTCCCGCTGCCAGAAATGGGCCGCCGGGAATGCCAAACATCCTGCTGCTGACGGGGGCCAGTTCACAATAACAGATTGACTCCTCCACTGTAAATATATCCTGTTGGTCAGCAGCGAGGGCTCCTCTCTTTCCTGCCTTTGAATGTTTTTTGGAGCTGCGGGGTGGTCGGCGGGTATTCTCAGTACAATGGCTGGAGACGAGATGGAAATTCCCCCCTATGGGTTCAGTGGCATTCACAGGAAAAGACACACAATCTGTCCATAAGTTGCCAAGATCTTCCCTATCGCCCCAAGCCTGCCGACCCCAGCTGACCCCGGGGAGGAAGTATGCTCCCGGCGGCGCATAAAGCTCCCTGTTGTCGTTCCGCCTGACCGCTGTACTGGTGATCCGCCGCGGCAGTGACGTGTTCTCCTTGAAGGTCTTTCATTAACCTATTTAGGATGTTTTGAGTCAGGTTCTTAAATCGGCGTTAAATGGCTCGATTGGTAAATGATGGCTTTGAGCGGGGCAGAGACCCCGGCACCGGCCCGAGCTAAACTCCAGCTTCCAGTCATGCTGAATCACATTGCTTAACAGGATTTCATGCAGCAAAAAATGACAATATTGGTACGGGCTGCGCTGTAGAAAGCCACATGATTTAAGCTCCATGGGTTTCCTAGAGGGCCTCATTGGCAGCTCGTTGTAAGTGAACCCGCTCAGAGAAGCAGGTGTAAGGATTCCAGTCCAGAAAAAGACTGTCACAACATGTTCCTGGTGTTGTTTTTAAAGAAGGCTCTTCGTTGGGCACGTCACGTTTCCTTGGCTGAAATGACCATATATGGCAAAATTGGCAGTTTCATGTAAACCCCAAGAATGTAGATCCCCCAAAACAACCACCAAAAATATCAGTCCAAGTGTATTTTAAAACTACTGCGGATGAAACATGAAAACAAAATCGGGTATTTCCCCCCAGGCTCTGAGGACAATGGCCTCTGGAGAATGAAACTTGTTTTTTAGGTTAGATACCCATTGGCATTATATCTGAGGTTTGGATCCAGTTTCATTCCATGTAAGGCAGTTAGCCGAAGAAGTGACCCGAACCCTACGGTACATTATTTGACTGGGTTGCTCATTATCTTGGCAAGTACAGTTAGTCTGCATTCTGCATCCAGGCCCACAGCCGTGTCTGCCAAGATATCTGCTCAAATGATGAACGAACATGCACATTAGTCTCGCCCATTGTCAAAACAGGCTGAATCATTTATTCAGGTGGTGAAATTTCACACATTTTCTGTTCTGAAGTGCAAATACGGAAAATATTGGTTATCACACACTGCACAAAAGAGTTGAGACTTTGGTTATCTGCTCACCTTTCCAATAGTGCCTCTTATCAATTGCAGTTTGGTAGTTTGGTTCCACTTGAATCATCAACGTATTTCGAATCAAAATGGCAATTTGTTCAAAACGTCTGACCTGCAGAACTAACATTCCAGTCTAGCTCGGCTTCCATTTTTTGTTTAGGGGTAAAAAGCGAATGTTAGCATCCTGAGAGCGAAAGCTGGGCTTTGCGATCGAACGTGGCTCAGTGAATTTCGTATTAATATTACAAACGCAGTGGCTGGACAACCGCATCCATCAACCATAAACACTTTCACTTTACTCAAATTTGTCAGTTTGAGAATTGCCGCGGCCTTCAAAGGCCTTTTCTGTGTTGACACTTTACGCCTTTGTAGCTTTGGAGTGTCAAGTGTGCCGAGAGATACTGAGAATGCTTTTTGTGAGCGAGGTTGAGAGCCAAGTGTCCCTGAGCCAGACCCCTTTTTCCACAACCGCGTGAAGCGTTTTCATACACATTATGTTCCCGGGACATAAAAGCAGCCTCGGTGTCTCCTGTCTAGAAAGATAATATTGGACTCTGGGATCTTACATTTCCCCCGACGAGTCCCCTTTGTTTGGTACGGCGCTCGGCCCTGGGAGGGAAAAGACTGCTGGCCGCTCCGCTCTGGTAAACATTAGAGAGACGGAGGGGCCCCGATAGAGGGAGCGCCCTGCGGACACGTATGCCCGTCACACACGCACAGACACGCACAGACACACAAGTCTTAGTACAAACCAAACTATCGATTGGAAAATCTTTGTCAAAGAGAACGTGCCGGGAAACAAACAAGGCAAATGCTGCTGTAATAACTGCGCCAAATGCTGAAATCAAACACAGACGTGGCTTTATTTGCTCTTTGTCTGTCAGAGACGTTTTTGTAAACATTTGTAAGCACTTTCATTAGCCTCTTCAATTGAAGCGTCAGATCCCGAGAGTCCAGCAAATCCAATGCTTATTTAGACAGAGAACGATAATCCAGCCAGTGGTTTGAGCTTCAGGCAGAAGGTCCTCTCATGCGTTTGTTCTGGTTTATCGACTCAAACCAGGCTAAATAAATGAGAGATTACGAAATAAAATGAACTCCGTGAACGCGAATCATGTTCAAAGTGTGATCTGTCGTAGAGCATGTGGCTGCTGGTTTGTGGGCTCGGTAAGCTGAGACTTTTTTGGTCCCAAGCTTTTAAAAGCACTTTGTGAATCTGTGGCGGATTATGCTTGCAGATGGTAGAGTCCGAGCTAACAAAGCCCAGAGTTGCGTGGCTTTGCCTGGTCGCCATGTGCTTTGTGCTGAAATCTGTATTTTACCCAAAACGTTCAGATAAATCATTTTCATTTTCAACTAGAGTGTGAGGTTCATGTCAAGTAGTGACAGTCATAGCAAAACGTTTGCAGATCAAACAGTCCTTTTTTTCAATGGAGGTCCCAGCATCTCAGAGGAGTGCACATTGTATCTTTAACCAAACCAATTCACCATTTTCCTGCCAACCTCTGCTGTTCTGCAGTTCATACACATGCTTTCCCCTTCCTCTACCTCTACCTCTCTCTCTCTCTCTGTCCAGGTGAGAAAGCAGGAGCACAGCAGGTGGAGAAGCCCCAGCCGGTCTCAGAGAACAGCAGCGCGGCCCACAGCATCGGCAGCACACAAAGCACGCCCTGCTCCAGCAGCAGCACGGCGTAGCCCAGGACGCTGCCCGGCCGCTCGCCGGTTCCTTCGATCTCCTTCCACGAGAGGAACTATATTTTTGAGGATGTGATATAAAGGAGACAAGAGAGTAGTAGGATTTGAAAAAAAAAAACACACAACATCACTTTTTGCATCCTTGCATGTAAATTCCTTTAGTGCCACTTCAAGTGTGTGCAGGCAAATATAGTGTCCTGTTGCTACTGGGCTGCTGGTGAAGCAACCCCACCTTACCAGCCTCACCTCATATCCAGTTAAACCAGTAAAACTACAACAAGCCAATGTAAGTTCCGGCACTTCTTTCCATTCAGACTGCTTTTGTTTTGACCCTGAGAGTCGTGCTGTTTGTAGCAGTGATGTCAGTACTAGTAGGTGTGATATCAATGGCCTGTAACACCTCACAATGTGCATCCCTGAATGTGGCAAAGGAGCAAAGCAACCACTATTAACATGCGGACAAATGTGCAGTATAAACAGAAGTCGTCATCTTGATACACAGAGAGCGAGAGGGGGGGCGGGTGGGACTGGCTTTAGAAAGACAGTGTAGCTGTGAATGTATACAGAAGAATAGATGCCAAAAAATGTGAAAGAAAAATGTGAACGACATGCTGTTGAAATGGCACGTTTTGTAACGCGCGCATACGTCCCTCCTAATAGATTTATACACACATGTAGTAATGTCCTCTAGTGGACGGACCTCTGAGCCTCACGTTATACATCCGCAGAGTAAAACGTTGGATAACACAAGTACCGAGCTTGTAACGGCAGGGGATTAGCTTAGCTTAGCATTAGGGCAAAAAGTAGAGGGAAACGGGTAGCTTTCTGAAAAAGAAAATGAGATGAAGGGAAACTATTTGCCACGTCTCGCTATTTGCCCCCAGCTTCCAGTTGTTATGCTAAGCTAAGCTAATCACCTCCTGGCTCCAAAGTCCGTGCTCAACATACAGACATCACGTAGTGGTATCATTCCTCGTATCTCACTCGATTCTGTGAATTCTCCAAATTGTTGCAAAGCAAAGTGCTGCTCCTGTACTTTAGATCAGTCAAGGACATCACACACAGAATGACTGAGGAGTTGATGCAGTTTTGGTCCTAGTGTCCTTCACGCTTCTGTCTTTATTATTGACATTTTAAAACAGCATCAAATCTTGTTTGAGAAATGTTTCAAAATGAACAACAACCTTATTCAACATTACCAACTAGGTGTTTTACATTTAGCGACTTTTGGAGCCAGCGCTGCTTGATTGGACAATTGTTTTTCAGTTGGATCAATTTTAAAAATGCAGCACACTCTTGCCGGTTCCTCAACATCACCAACCCCGTCTTAAGCTGGTGACTATTGTTCTGTACACAGTCCAATTCTTCTCATCCGACAGAGTTGATTGGTTACAGCATAAAGCCAGACAGTGTACAGAATCATCTTTTTGGATGAATCTCTGCGCTGACGGTGTGTTGTTTTAAAAAAACCTCCACGGCTTCCCCACCGCCTAGAACGATATGAATGTTTGCTGCCTTCCTCTGCCCGCGCGTGTTCTTTGGAGACTGTGTGTGCGGCTGACGAGGCCCTTCGAACTTTCCCTGTAAAGACCTGAACAGCCACCAGAAAACCAGAATGTATATTATCTCAAAGCTTTCCATGTTTGTTTTTTTCTTTCTTATGTAAACATGTGTCAAACTTTCTACAGAGGAAACAGAGTCTAAATATATATTTGTGCATAAAATTATATTTTGGAATATATTTACCAAGAGAAATGTATTGTCTGCCATGTGTGTATGTACTGTGAATGTGCCACAACATAATACGTGTTCATGGGGAGTTCATTCTGTTTAATTAATTACAGCTTCTTGGCACGTTTTGTGACACTCTAAAGGATGAGCATTCAATTATTATACTTATTGCAATAATTAAAGTAATGTTATAGTACCTTTCCGATGAATACATCAAATAAGAAAACACTTTTAACACGCATTAGTAAACGGAGTGAACTCCTCCCAGACTTAAAGGGAAAACTTTTCTGTGGGCGTCCGCTCTGTGTTGATGGTCGATGTGGTCAATCAATCTGAACTACGGTCACTTTGAAGGGAGGTGAGAACTGCAGGCTGCAATGCATCCTGGTACACGTAGGCACTGCTGGTGTGGCTCGCCGTGAGCAACGTGTACGTTTACCATCCACGCTGACCGGACATGCACGTGCAAAGTGGCAAATTCTCCCTTTAAGCGTTCCTCCTTCGGCTGCCGCAGGGTCACATCACAACAAACCCCACATCGAGTATAGTCACAACGACACAAACCCCCTTGAAAAAATAATGAAAAAAATGTAAAACAATGCTGAAAACGACAGCAATTAAACCAGAAAAGAAAGCAGAATGCACAATAAGCGTGTCCTGTAAATGCAGCGTGGATTCAACCGTTAACTCTGCTTCTGGAAACTCAACTGGTTTCAATAACCCTCGAGAAATAATTGTCAATGAGTATTAAAACCACTTGGTTCTGTTTGTTTTCTTCTACCGGGCCGGTTGCCATGTCTGTTAGTGCCAAAAACCTCAGTTATTAGATAAATATGCGGCAGCGACACGCTGCTGTCATGGGGCGGCGTGTGCAGGGAAAGGTCCGTGCTTGGAAGGAGCGCCGGCGGTCATTGTGGGAACGAGGCTTTCTGACATTCCTCCAGTCGCTGCCTTTCTCTTATCGACTGCGGCGAAACCATCTCCTCGGTGTAATTACCGCTGCCCTCCCGCTCATCAGCGTGGTTACGGAATATGGAATAATGACGCTGTATCAGATAAAAAGGAGCAGTATTCTAGTCGTAGATCACAGGATGAAACAGTTAATGCTGACCTGAAAACAGCTGTAATCGGAATGTACGTGGTTATCGATTGTATTTTTTTTAACCGTTTGACTACCTCATGTTTCTCTATGAATGTGTAATGTTCGTGCTGCGCTGCGTGTCTCTTTTCTGTACGTCTGTAGATTATACCGCGGTTGGGGCCGTTTAGGGGCCCCGCGTGGTTTTGTTGCAGTTTCCCGTCTATTCTTCAATCTCAAAGCAAGAAGAGTTTAAGCTTTCCCATGTTGCCAAGATGGATTTTTGTTTTCTGTGGGGAGGGGAACGTTGTAAATTTGTAAAACTTTGATAAGCCCTTGATATTTTCCTTCAGGATTTCGAAACCTTTTATATGCTGTAAATACGCATGATACCTGTGTACCCGTTATGTCCAATAAAATCAGTGTAATAACGTACAGCAGTGTCGTTTGATGGTTTCCACAGGATGGATGTGTGATGTGTGGGTTTGGAACAACGAGCTTTAATAGTGTGCTGGCGCTTGGCTCCGTGACGGTGAAGTCGTGACCCGTCTGTGGTGAGCTCATAGCGTGATACAGACCTTCCCCTCCCCAGCAGGCATTTGTTCCATCTTTGCTTTCGATCACAGCTCCTTGGAGGCGCTTTCAAGCAGCGTGGCCCCGTGTGAGCGGCGTGATTACAGGAGGGGAGGCCTCTCGTCACGCCCCGGCGGACTTCATGTTGACTGCTCCATGTGACCCCCTTGCAGGCCCGTGCGATGCCACACTGCACCTCGCCCTCCTCCCGCTGCGCTGTGCAGCCGATGATGACTAATATCGATTCCCTAAACAACTCGCTCCATGATTGTCATTATTTTTATTTCCAGCTCTCTCAATTGGGGTTCCTGGAACACACATTTGTTTTTTTGGCCTTTGCGCTGCGCAGATAATTCATGCAGTCATTGATTGCGTGTGCCCCAGACAATAGCGCATGACGAATGCAAGATTCTATTAAAAAGAGCTTTTGGGATTTGTTTTGTTTTATTTCAGCTGACAGGACGCCAAACGGTGACGCCGTACTGATTTAGAGCAGACCTTTGCTCCTAAACACAATTACTCAAATTAAGTTAAGAGCGACGTCTTGGAGCTTTTCTGTCTGAGGAGGATGAGCGCATGTTCACAGGCTGTGTATGTGTGCACCAACCCTCCCTGCGCCTCTTCCTGTCCCGTGGCACATAACTGCAAGGAGGTCAGAACAATAACAGCACGTCATGCTGGAGACGCTCTCTTGCTTCACAGCGTCACAATTACACTCACAATTCTTTTTTGAATTGTGTGGGAAATTACAACCTTCAAAATATCAAAACTAACGTGGTTTAGTGATTGTTGTCCAAAGTTGGAATTTGAGTTATTTGCGTAAAAAAGTACATTTTCCCTAAAAAAAAAAACCATGATGTTACCAGCAAAGTTGCTCGAGCTATTTTCAACAGTTTTTGTTTTTCAAGCTGTCTGTAGCTTCATATTTAGCAGACAGATGAAGATGCTATTTTGTCAAACCCCAAAATATTGAACTATGGCTTTAAAGTTAATACTTTTGTGAATTTTTCGAAATCCTGAATTACAAACACTTGAATGGAGACCCAAAGTTCATATTCTGAAAGCATGCATTGGTGTTTCGTGATTAGTCTTCCCATAAAGGAAACAATGGCCTTTGGATTTCCCACATTCATGCACATAGACAGTACGGATGCTATTCGCTAACCGCCATGTTGGAACTTCAGCCTCCTCTGACAGCCGGTTCTTATGCTGCACCAACATACGACTTTGCAGCGTTTTGTTTTGCTGCCAGAATCAATAAAACATTCTCATTTTGCTGAATTGCAAACCGTGTTTTCACTGAGGCACATGGGTACAGCATGTGTGTATTTTAGACATCTGAGGCCCTGAAACTTACTGCTGGAAAACACTTGCATGTTTCCAGTGGGAGGAAAAGAAGAAGAAATTAAATCTCTGTAGCCTGAAATTGCATTGGTCATAATGAAAAGGCTCAATTGTTACTAGCTTTACACCACAAAGATCTCCCACTCAATTCTTGTTCAATTCTCATTTCTCCTTCATCTCCGAGCTAGAAGCTTTTTCACCCCCCCACTCCACAAAAAACACAAACAAACACAAATCTCTTCTTCTATGCACTTAATCGTACTGACTGGCTTGCTGCCCAATCCACATATCTGAATTGACAACAAAAACAAGAAGAATTCGCCATGCAGCGTTCCCTCTGGCTGTTCTCTCTGGACAAACTGTGTTATCTACGTGAGCCGTTTGTACTTGTACTGCTTTTCAAATGACTTCAAGCACCAACAACACAAGGGGACACCGACAGTGTCACAGACTCATAAACTCCCCATAGGCGTCATTTATTACTCCTTTCCTCCAGATGCACATTTCCACATCTCCACTCGTAGAAGCTGGTGATTGCATCAACCTAACGTATAGTCTCCTGGAAAACAACAGAGGTGGTTGGTGGTTGGAGTCCTAACTTTTGAGGAGGAGCTTATCGGTGCGGCTTGTGCAGACACATCATTCATTTACACTTGGCAAACTTGTGGCCTCGACCCCAAAGTGCCTCAAACCCAAAACGTTTATCATGGGTTGCAGTGAGCCTCGAGTCTCTATGGGGACCTCGCGCCCGACCTCGCATCTAAATACATGTGTATGAGCATTTCTGCCTTCACACAGCTGGCACGATAAAATATGTACTGCATATAAATATGTACGTTGTTAACTTCATGTGTGAGCCCATCATTCCAGCTTAGGATCAACTTTTAAATACTAAGAAATGGGTTTGTGATTTTAAATTTTGTCTTTATAATTAAGTAGAACTCACATTTATTTTATACAGATCCTAGTTTATTTTTTAAACATATTATTAGGGCTGTCAACATAAACACATTAATCTATGCAATTAATGTGGCCAAGATTAATGCAACAAAATATTTTAACGTACTTAACGTACCTTTGTTTACCGGTAAACAACAACAAGTAAAAAACAAACAAAAAATGGATGGTTGTTTCCACTGTGGGGATGGTTTAGCTGTTCCATGGCCAACATGACTGATTGGCCTCTTGGCATGAAGAGAGGGGTTTGAGAATTATTGGCATTTTGGATAAAATTATTTAAAAAATAAAGCGTATTCTTCCAAAACCACAAGAAGACTTTTGACTGGGGAGAACGTATTTGAGTGTAAGATATCACCATGAAACTTCCTCTTCTGCAAATGCAAATGATGTATTATGCTATTAAATCATTGCTCATTGCACATTTCCACAACAGAAGTCTGAACATTGAGAAGAGCTGCAGGTTCAAAATGATCATCTATTGGTTAATTCTTTAAAAACATGTACTTGTATATTTCCTTTTTTTCACTCTGTAGATCCATAAATACTTTTTATGGAACATAATGCTGTATAACCCAGCTATGAATGATATATGAACAAACCCACGGGCACACATCTAATAGAAATTGGATTCTAAATGGAAAGTTTGGTTTGTGTGACTGAAGCAGAGATTTCTGGCTCAGACTGAGAATTTACTCATTTTGAGAAAACCGCCCTTAAAGATTTGTGTTGTAAAATCCAGTAAATGACAAAGTGAGTTAAGAAAACCTCTACATGTGTATTTGGGGTGTTATATTTCCTCCGGTCTGAAAGACGTTATAGAAACCAAAAGGCTCAAATTCACAAAATTGACCAATAAAAATGTTGATGAAAACGCAGCCCTCCCTGCCGTCAGCGGCCCTCAGTAAGACCCCTTTTTCCATCCAGAATCCTGCACACAGAACCGCCTCGCCGAAATCAGCACTGCAACCAAACCAAACAAGCCCGGTCCAAGTACCCGCTCCTAAATGCAACCAGATGTCTGCCCTCAGCTAACAAGCAGAGAAAAACACAGAACCTTGCTGCCGTTGGTCCAGTGGAAGCCCCAGCTGATCAGTGAAAGCTGTCATCCAGAAACAGATGTGTGGACTGTGTGCGTAGAAACTACGCTTGCAGCCCGAGGCAGCACTCAAAGGTGAATGGACCAGAGGTGTAGTTAAAGAAAATAGTCTAATACTGGAATGGATTAGAAGGGCACAGCGTTCCTGGAAAGGAACGCTGTGCCCCTCCCAAATAAAAAATGAATCTGCAGCTGATGTGGAGAGAAGACGAAAAGCGCCTTGGTGGAGGAAAAATGTGTTTGATTAGAAAATTAAATCCTATTGATTAAATCAATTTCACAACAAAATGGATTTAGGTCAGTTGACTGGAACCCCAGGGCCTGATGGATGGACCTGCACACACGACAGACCATAATGACAAATAAAGCTCCAGAGGCTCAACTTGCTCACAATGAATGAGACAATTTAAATATTTTTAAAATATTATTACGTAAAAAGTGTGCAGCAAATGACATTTCCTTGAATCCTTCCAACAGCGGACAATCCGCTAGCAGGAAGGGCGGGAGAAACAGAGGATGCCTGATCATCGCATCAGATACGAGGAAAATGTGACATGCAACACAATTGACTCCGTAATGGTTGCGACCTTCATTTCTGCACATTGACAACACGGTTTCCCTATTGTAAACATGTCAAACAGCTTCTGGTCTTGTGAAAGGAACACAAGGACTTGAGGACTCTTGGCCAAGACCTGAGACATAGCTGTCACTTGCAAAAAACGGTGACTTTATCTTAAAAGGGCCCTAAAAGCAGCTTGCAGCAGAACGCGCTGCCTCGTAGGTGAACGCTGGCGTCTGTTTTTAGGGAAGCTCGTGGACAGATGTTGAACTTTTTTTTTTTTTTTTACAATATCGGCCACAAAGAAAAACATCAAGAGTGCATTCGTCAAAGGTATGTCCCTCAAAGGGGCCCTGTTGGCCCAAACTCAGCTGCATTCCACAGGCAGGCTACCATAAAGCCTCCCTGAGGAGTTTTCATCTCAATCTTAATAACAGACTTCCATGCGGCCCAGCCACCACAACAAGGTCAGACCTGGCCGTGGTCGGCCTCCGTCTGCTACTGCAAGCTCCTCCCCCTTTTCACCAAAACACAATAGCATTTGTCTTTTATCGCAAAGTTGTGTCCTCATTACGAATTGCATGAAATGTCTGACAGCTGGACTCGACGACTCCCCCTGAAAATCGGGCTGGCGTGACGAGGGGCCCCCTGTGCGCCGCATTGCGACTCTGAGAGCTTTCGGAGACACTTTTTAGTCTGCAAGCTGTCAGGAGGCCGAGAAAGATTCTTATAAAAGGCCTGCTGGCCTGATTGCTCCGGTGTAAACAGATCCAGCCACGCTGTGCTGCCCTGCAGAGAGTCCACACCCTACATGGTCAGCGTAGTAAAAACACTCAGGGGCCAGGGGCCGAAAACGAATGATTCACAGGGACCTCTGTTTATGGAGGTGTCACCGTCTCGAGC